ACGTGTAGTTACAGACACTTAATATATCCAGTTTTAATAACAAAATATTTGTGTACGTGTAGTTACAGACACTTAATATATCCAGTTTTAATAACAAAATATTTCTGTAAGTATAGTTACAGACAGTAGATATACCCAGTTTTATTAAAAACTATTTCTGCAAGTGTAGTTACACACAGTTGATATACACAGTTTTAAGAAGCAACTATTTGTGTAAGTATAGTTACAGACATTTAATATACCCAGTTTAATAACAAAATATTTCTGTAAGTGCAGTTACAGACAGTAGATATACCCAGTTTTAAAAAGAAACTATTTGTGTAAGTGTGGTTATATACAGTTAATATACCAGTTTTAATAAGAAACTATTTCTGTAAGTGCAGTTACAGACAATTAATATACACAGTTTTAATAAAAAGTATTTCTGCAAGTGTAGTTACAGACGGTTAATATACCCAATTTTAATAAGCAACTACATCTGTAAGTGTAGTTACAGACAGTTTATATACCCAAATTTAATAAGAAACTATTTGTATAACTGTAGTTACAGACAGTTAATATACCCAGTTTTAATAAAAACTTTTTCTGTAAGTGTAGTTACAGATGGTTAATATACCCAGTTCTAATAAAAACAATTTGTGTAACAGTGGTTATATACAGTTAATATACCCAAATTAAATAAAAAATATTTCTGTAAGTGCAGTTACAGACGGCTTAAATACCCAGTTTTAAAAAGAAACTATTTCTGTAAGTGTAGTTAAGGACAGTTAATATACCCAGTTTTCTTAAAAACAGTTTCTGTAAGTGTAGTTACAGACAGTTAATATACCCAGTTTTAATAAGAAACTATTTCTGTAAGTGTGGTTATATACAATTAATATACCCAGTTTTAATAAGAAACTATTTCTGTAAGTGTAGTTACAGACAGTTAATATACCCAATTTTAATAAGAAACTTTTTGTGTAAGTGTAGTTACAGACAGTTAATATACCCAGTTTTAATAAGAAACTATTTCTGTAAGTGTAGTTACAGACAGTTACTATACCCAGTTTTAATAAAAACTGTTTGTGTAAGTGTGGTTATATATAGTTAATATACCCATTTTTAATAAAAACTATTTCTGTGAGTGTAGTTACAGATAATTGATATACTCAGTTTTCATAAAAACTATTCCTGCAAGTGTAGTTACAGACAGTTAATATAGCAAGTTTTTAATAAGAAAGTATTTCTGTAAATGTAGTTACAGACAATTAATATAACTAGTTTTAATAAAAACGATTTGTGTAAGGGTAGTTAGAGACAGTTAATATACCCAGTTTGAATAAAAACTATTTGTGTAACTGTAGTTACAGACAGTTAATATACCCAGTTTTAATAAAACTATTTGTGTAAGGGTAGTTATATACAGTTAATATACCCAGTTTTAATAAGAAACTATTTCTGTAAGGGTAGTTACAGACAGTTAATATACCCAGTTTTAATAAGAAACTATTTCTGTAAGTGTAGTTCCAGACAGTTAATATACCCATTTTAATAAAAACTACTTTTGCAAGTGTAGTTACAGACAGTCAATATACCCAGTTTTAATAAAAAAACGATTTATGTAAGTGTAGTTACAAACAGTTAATATCCCCAGTTTTAATAAAAACTATTTCTGCAAGTGTAGTTAAAAACAGTTAATATACCCAGTTTGAATAAAAACTATTTCTGTAAGTGTAGTTACAGACAGTTAATATACCCATTTTTAATAAAAACTATTTCTGTGAGTGTAGTTACAGACAATTGATATACTCTGTTTTCATAAAAACTATTTCTGAAAGTGTAGTTACAGACATTTAATATACAAAGTTTGAATAAAAACTATTTCTGTAAGTGTAGATACAGACAGTTAATATACCCAGTTTTCATAAAAACTATTTCTGTAAGTGTAGTTACAGACAGTTAATATACCCAATTTTAATAAGAAACGTTTTGTGTAAGTGTAGTTACAGACAGTTACTATACCCAGTTTTAATAAAAACTATTTCTGTTAGTGTAGTTACAGACAGTTAATATGCCCAGTTTTAATAAGAAAATATTTCAGTAAATGTAGTTACAGACAGTTAATATACCTAGTTTTAGAAAACTATTTCTGTAAGTGTAGTTAAAGACAGTTAATATGCCAATTTTTAATAAGAAACCATATGTGTAAATGTAGTTACAGACCGTTATTATACCCATTTTTAATGAGAAACTATTTCTAGAAGTGTAGTTACAGATAGTTAATATACCCAGTTTTAATAAGCAACTATTTGTGTAAGAGTAGTTACATACAGTTAATATACCTAGTTGTAATAAAAACGATTTGTGTAAGAGTAGTTACATACAGTTAATATACCTAGTTGTAATAAAAACGATTTGTGTAAGTGTAGTTACAGACAGTTCATATACCCAGTTTTAATAAGAAACTATTTCTCAAAGTGTAGTTCCAGACAGTTAATATAGCCAGTTTTGATAAGAAACTATTTCTGTATGTGTAGTTACAGACAGTTCATATACCCAGTTTTAATAAGAAAATATTTCAGTAAATGAAGTTACAGACAGTTAGTATACCCAGTTTTAATAAGAAACTATGTATGTAACTGCAGTTACAGACAGTTAATATACCTAGTTTTAAAAAACTATTTCTGTAAGTGTAGTTAAAGACAGTTAATATGCCAATTTTTAATGAGAAACTATTTCTGAAAGTGTAGTTACAAACAGTTAATATACCCAGTTTTAAGAAACATTTATTTGTGTAAGTATAGTTACATACATTTAATATACCCAGTTTTAATAACAAAATATTTCTGTAAGTATAGTTACAGACAGTAGATATACCCAGTTTTATTAAAAATTATTTCTGCAAGTGTAGTTACACACAGTTGATATACACAGTTTTAAGAAGCAACTATTTGTGTAAGTATAGTTACAGACATTTAATATACCCAGTTTAATAACAAAATATTTTTGTAAGTGCAGTTACAGACAGTAGATATACCCAGTTTTAAAAAGAAACTATTTGTGTAAGTGTGGTTATATACAGTTAATATACCAGTTTTAATAAGAAACTATTTGTGTAAGTGCAGTTACAGACAATTAATATACACAGTTTTAATAAAAAAGTATTTCTGCAAGTGTAGTTACAGACGGTTAATATACCCAATTTTAATAAGCAACTACATCTGTAAGTGTAGTTACAGACAGTTAATATACCTAGTTTAAAAGTAAACTATTTGTGTAAGTGTAGTTACAGACTGACAGTATACCCAGTTTTAATAAAAACGATTTCTGTAAGTGTAGATACAGACAGTTAATATACCCAGTTTTCATAAAAACTATTTCTGTAAGTCTAGTTACAGACAGTTAATATACCCAATTTTAATAAGAAACTTTTTGCGTAAGTGTAGTTACAGACAGTTAATATACCCAGTTTTAATAAATCTATTTTTGTAAGTGTAGTTACAGACAGTTAATATACCCAATTTTAATAAGAAACTTTTTGCGTAAGTGTAGTTACAGACAGTTAATATACCCAGTTTTAATAAATCTATTTTTGTAAGTGTAGTTACAGGCATTTAATACGCCCAGTTTTAATAAGAAAATATTTCAGTAAATGTAGTTACAGACAGTTAATATACCTAGCTTTAAAAAACTATTTCTGTAAATGTAGTTACAGACAGTTAATATACCCAGTGTTAATAAAATATTTCAATATAAATTATTCGGACAAATGGTGATAAAGAATAAATTCACACGTCTAAATGAAAACTTTTTTCTTGTATATTTTCTGCAACAGACTCTCTTCGCCTGGTAGTAAAGACCGTGATACATTTGAATCTGTTTATACGTGTCAGCTCATTTTGTATTATCATTTGTCCAGATTTTCTTCTCGCATCTTGCGGAAAAATTGTCATTCAAGGTTTTAGTATAAATTAGCGAACTATTTATTTTGAATTGACTGTAAAATAGTCAATGATTCTAAGGGCGTTTTGCAAGCACTTCTTTGAAATAAATACTTCAGAAACTATATGTTTCAAAAATATTTTGGAAGATGCAAATGATAATGTTGTGTATAAAATGGGTGATTTTGTTGTTGGTTTGGCTAGGTTGAGACGATTGGGGACGCCTACATGGGGGTATCTGGTGCGCCTGATGTGGACCCTAAGCATGCAGAAAACGTATGTGACATGGCTTTGGATATGGTGCAGGTTATTGGAGGCCTAAAAGATACGTCTACTGGTCAAAGTCTCAAAATTCGTGTTGGTAAGATTTCATTTTTATCACATCAACAGAGATTGAATACATTATAATAAAGCATTTTGTCCTACCACAATCTATGTTACCGTATTCAGTCAAGATCTTTTTTGGTGAACGTGTTTTGCACCAATAACCCTGCAGCATTGTTTCCATTGCATCGTCGTAAGGTTGTCGTTTAGAAAGCATACTCCTTCTCTTTGCTTTCTTTCCCTAAGTCATCTACTCTAGCAGGACCAGTTTAAAAATCCTGATCACACAGTATGTCTTTTTAGGGAATAGAATGAATACGACGGTTATGTCTTGGAACCAACGTGTGTGCACGTGACTTCTATCGCTTTTCCAGTGAAATATCTTCGTTTATTATGTTGTATACTATTTCCCGAGTCACGTGGTCAGCTTTTGCCACTAATCTTTGTGATAATCTCTTCTTAGTTGCTACAAGACGTCGCACTTTGCTTACTACAGCTAGCGTACGACTTGTTGCTGGTCTCTTTCTGGATGGTCCTGATGTCCAAAGTTGATCTCCTTTGTTTTCCAACCTTATTTAGTATAAGAGATATCCATGTCTTGGAAATCTAAATCCCAATTCTCAACGCATCTTTATAACCTGAGTGTATGAGTATATTGCTACTACCCTTCCCAAAAGAAGGCGATTTTCAGTGGCACCACGTCACCTACTTAAAATATAGTTATGATACACTTTGTTCTACTTTATATCCCATGTGCTTGTTACGTGATTTGTGATATTCATATAAAAAATCGTTTTAGTATAACTTACTCAACTCTTTGTATTCCCTAGAACCTCACAACGGTGACTAAATACAAAGCCTAACCGAGTTTGATTGGATGGTGGTAAATCAACCCACTAATTGACTGACGTAATAATAAGTTTACTACCCATACTTAAAATGTTTTGAATGAGAGGAGACAGCAACGAGTTATACTGCTGAATAGCTCAGTTGGATATATGATTGTCCTTGTTAGCCACAGGTTCTGCGTTCGAGCCCTAGTCCTACAGTTTCTTTCTACTTATCGGATTTTTTCGCTTACATTAATGTTTCTTAGAAAGTGTATTTTCAATGATTCATAACACGAAATTCGTATCGTAATAATAATATATCTGTGTGACTCTGGTTAGACACCTGCAATTTGTTTGGGTGGTGGTAAATCAAACAACTAATTGCTTGAGCACAACAATACAAAATAGTATGAAGTTTACTACTCACAATTTAAAAAACTTTACGACTGAAAGTAAACAGGGACGACTGGTATTCTTTGATAGCCCTTGGTTCAAGTCTGGTAAACAGGGACGACTGGTATTCTTTGATAGCCCTTGTTTCAAGTCTGGTAAACAGGGACGACTGGTATTCTTTGATAGCCCTTGGTTCAAGTCTAGTAAACAGGGACGACCGGTATTCTTTGATAGTCCTTGGTTCAAGTCTGGTAAACAGGGACGACCGGTATTCTTTGATAGCCCTTGGTTCAAGTCTAGTAAACAGGGGCGACCGGTATTCTTTGATAGCCCTAGGTTCAAGTCTAGTAAACAGGGACGACTGGTATTTCTTGATAGCCCTTGGTTCAAGTCTGGTAAACAGGGTCGACTGGTATTTTTTGAAAGCCCTTGGTTCAAGTCTAGTCCTCAACTTATAGATCTTGTCTTCTTACAATAGGTTTGTTATCTTTCTACATTCAGTGGTTTAATCATGTTTGTGTTATCACGTTACAGTAGTTTAATCATGTTTAAGTTATCACATTACAGTAGTTTAATCATGTTTGGGTTATCACGTTGCAGTGGTTTAATCAAGTTTGAGTTATCAGGAAACCACTGTAACGTGATTACACAAACTTGATTAAACTACTGTAACGTGATTACACAAACTTGATTAAACCACTGTAACGTGATTACACAAACTTGATTAAACCACTGTAACGTGATAACTCAAACATGATTAAACTACTGTAACGTGATAACATAAACATGATTAAACTACTGTAACCTGATAACTCAAACTTGATTAAACCACTGCAACGTGATAACTCAAACATGATTAAACCACTGTAAAAACCACTGTAACGTGATTACACAAACTTGATTAAACTACTGTAACGTGATTACACAAACTTGATTAAACCACTGTAACGTGATTACACAAACTTGATTAAACCACTGTAACGTGATAACTCAAACATGATTAAACTACTGTAACGTGATAACATAAACATGATTAAACTACTGTAACCTGATAACTCAAACTTGATTAAACCACTGCAACGTGATAACTCAAACATGATTAAACCACTGTAATGTAACGTGATTACACAAACTTGATTAAACTACTGTAACGTGATTACACAAACTTGATTAAACCACAACACAAACATGATTAAACCACTGTAACGTGATTTGTAACGTGATTACACAAACTTGATTGTAGTTTAACACAAACATGATTAATCACGTTGCAGTAGTTTAATCAAGTTTGTGTAATCACGTTACAGTGGTTTAATCAAGTTTGTGTAATCACGTTGCAGTGGTTTAATCATGTTTGAGTTATCACGTTACAGTTGTTTAATCATGTTTGAGTTATCACGTTACAGTTGTTTAATCAAGTTTGTGTAATCACGTTACAGTAGTTTAATCAAGTTTGTGTAATCACGTTGCAGTAGTTTAATCATGTTTGTGTTATCCCCTTACAGTGGTAATAAATAAACTTTGTATTCCGAAAACGATGTTAAAGTGGGTTTGTTGGAACGATGTATTTTGTATTTTATATCACACGTGTATTCTAAGTTTGTGTCTGTTTGTGTCCATAGGTGTTCATTCAGGAGCGGTGGTGGCAGGAGTCGTAGGTATGAAGATGCCAAGGTACTGCTTGTTTGGAGACACCGTCAACACAGCGTCTCGAATGGAAAGCACTAGTGAGGTATATGGAAGTTTTATAAGAGTATTTTACACAACTAATTACCTCTATTTTAATCTGTAAAACTACCTCAAAAATAAGAGTTTTTTATAGATATTTTCTATTTACCACAACATCTGTACCTTAACAAACTTGACGTTAAGCAAACTGTAAAAATAGGAGATTTAATAGATAAATTACATTATCTCCAATTTTGTTAGCTTAATTAAACTGCCGTAAAAACGACTTATTTTACAGACACGTTATAGTAGCTCCACATTTAATATCTAAATGTGTCGACATTAAAAGCACCTTGAAGTAGTGGAATTTATACGTTTTGTATTAGATATAAATTTAATAACCAAATCTACTTGAAGTCAAAACTACTGTAAAAATAACAGTTGCTATATTTCTATAAAAAACATAGCTTAGCTGCAACATGCATCTAAAGAAACAGATAATCTTATTCTACAGAGCCAGTAGAGATGTTCTAATCAGTTTCAACGAAAATAAACTGAAAATCTTATTCTACAGTGTGAGTAGAGCTGATAAAGATAAGATTATCAGAAATAGGCAGACAGCTTTACTAACAAGTTGAGTACACATACTTTTGGTAAGGTGAACTGAATCAGGAAAACAATCAAAGTTATGATTATATAAAATATCAGACTTTCTCTAAGTAGTGACTAGAGCTGGGTTAGATATTGTGATATGAAACAGGCTAACAGTCTTACTGTAAGAAGTGACTAGAGCTGGTTTAGATAATGCGATATGAAACAGGCTAACAGTCTTACTGTAAGAAGTGACTAGCTGGTTTAGAAAATGCGATATGAAACAGGCTAACAGTCTTACTGTAGGAAGTGACTAGAGCTGGTTTAGATAATGCGATATGAAACAGGCTAACGGTCTTACTGTAAGAAGTGACTAGAGCTGGTTTAGATAGTGATATGAAACAGACCAACGGTCTTAGTGTAAGAAGTGACTAGAGCTGGTTTAGATAGTGATATGAAACAGACTAACGGTCTTAGTGTGAGAAGTGACTAGAGCTGGTTTAGATAATGTGATATGAAACAGGCTAACGGTCTTACTGTAAGAAGTGACTATCAGCTGGTTTAGATAATGTGATATGAAACAGGCTAACAGTCTTACTGTAAGAAGTGACTAGCAGTGGTTTAGATATGGTGAACTGAGTCTGACGATCCTAGTCTGTATAATATGAATAGTAGAGCCATGGCAATAAATGTAAATATCTTTACAGAACTTATAGGAATTACACACATTCCAGCTTCAGCCAATCTATGATAATAATGAAAGGAACGTATAATTACCAATATAAAATTAAAACCAACAGTACTGGGAACCTATAAAATATTTTAAAATAAACAGTACTGGGAAATTTTAAAATATTCAATTTAAAAAAGGAGATTCGTGGAGAGAGATATTTGAATAAAAAAGGTGGGGAAGATTTAGTATTTTTGCTGGGTTTGGATTTTCATTCATAATAACGCTTTTTGTGAAACCCAACTCAACAAGCTACTCATGTCCTTCTACCCCCAAATTAAACTCAATATTGTCTTCAAATTGTCACTTCGTATCAGTAGATTTTTTAGAACTAAAGACATTTTACCTTTACCCTTACGTTCAAAGGTCATATATAAATGTACACGTAGTTACGTTCAAAGGTCATATATAAAATTACACGTGGTTACATTCAAAGGTCATATATAAATGTACACGTCGTTACATTCAAAGGTCATAGATAAATGTACACGTGGTTACATTCCAAGATCATATACAAATGTACACGTGGTTACGTTCAAAGGTCATATATAAATAGACACGTGGTTACGTTTAAAGGTCATATATATATATAAACAGACACGTGGTTACGTTCAAAAGTCATATAAAATTTACGTGTGGTAGCTGTAACGCAATTTACCAGTACGCCCCTTGGAACACATGGGAGTTTCTAACAGAACTGGACTTAAACTTCAAACTCCACCGACTTTCCTGTATATTCTTACAATGAAACGTTATCACATCCCGTTTCTTAGAAAACTTTCAGTTCTCTTATGGATATAATGATCACAAACTGTTGACAAAAGAAATAAAAATCTCAATAGAAATCCCAACTATTTCCTACTTGCTTTATTCAAATACCTCTTAAAAAGATTTAAATTTAATATTTTATTATTTCTGACACTAAATATTCACAACACTAAATATTCACTGTAGTGATTATAGTAGATTTGTTGAAGATGTAATACATGTAATTCCGAAACTCTTATTAAAGATGTTTACAATTGTTGCCGTGGCTCTACTATTCATTGTCAGACTTCGTTTATCAAATGAGAAGATTCTTAATCTGTATAGTCAGTAGTGAAATTTTAAATAGGATTATCCCAAGAATTGCCATTATTTAAATGTGAGAGTATCTGTTTATTTATTCTACTGAATATTGAAGCTTATAAAACTTAGATCAGTAACAATGATATTGTATTTGTATAGCAGAAATAATAATTCCAAAACATACTTAACCTCCGCTGACACTATAGCTATTTCTCGATCTCCAAGGTTTCCACTATTCGCCCATCTAAACATTAAAACAGTTGCTCCAGTCTTTTATACCCCATTTGAGTACCCTGGGTAAATTCTAATTTCCAATATTCTCCACCAACTTAAAGCACCCTCTATCTAAGTACTGCATATAAGCCCTCATTCAGATAATTTAATCACTTTTTCGAGACAAAGCATTCTGCACGCGTTTCTATAAACAGGAGTGTTGTGATTATTCGCAATTTACGTTGCGACTTTGAACGTGGTTGGTGTTACTCTGGTTAAATCTTCGTATATTTATAAATTACTTTAAGAAAAAAAATGTACCGACGTGTATGAATTCCCGAGTTTCTACTATGGAGGCCAACCAGACCTCTTCTGTTCCACCTCTGCTATCTGGTGTTTGTCAATGGCCAGGGGAGGGGTCACTGTCCGGGATATGATCCGTTGTGAGATGGAGTCTCTCGGGTGAAGGGGGTCTGAGGCGGTTTTTGTAATTGATCCGGGACCATCTGGAGATAATTTAGACTAACCTTTTCCGGCTCCATCTTTTACTAGGTCGGACTCAACAGAGGATCATCTGATCAGCTACCTTCAGTTGGTTACTCGGACTTGTGAGGTTTTGGAGGTCTCTCCTATTGCATTTAACTGTACTCCTTCCTTGGTAGCAGAAACGGTGGTAATGATTACTTGGTTTTTCCTCCTTCTCCTGATTTGCTGTTCATGCTGGGAGATTTGCCGCTCAGTTACGTGACGAGATAACTATGCCTTGTCTGCCACGTTTATCGGAACAGCACGCTTTAGCTTATCACCGCTAGGAGAAGGTATATTTAGATTCTAAATGGATGGACCCCCTTTTACACCTCCCGGAGGTCTAGATTGAAACCAGTGGTCACTATAAACAGATCAAACTTTTCTTGGATTCGTCTTGCTCTCACGACTATCATGAGGTATTTATCTTGATTACAACTTTTGTCAGAAGCCTATCAACATTCCCATCAGCAATTTGTGGACAATTTGGGGATTTTGCTGATGTCTACCTCAGTCAGATTGTCATCATCAGTTCTTTCTTTGGTTTCCTGACTGGTTTGTTGTTGGGATATATTATGTAGAGACTCTTTGCTAGAAAATGTTTGTTTACCCTCTTCTGTCCTCAGGGAGTTACGGGAAGCTCCTTTTCTACGTTCCATGTTGTTTGCTGGAGTTCCAGAGAAGTTAGAATCACGAATTAATTCAGCTTTATCGTCGTTGGCTTCTCGCTTTTCTGGCGCTAATTTGTGAGTGTCGGCTTGTAGTGCTTCCCGACCCCCTCCTTCGGTTCCCAGGTCTATTGGATCCCATAATAGAG